TGTTTTTGCTCAACTTGCTAGAAGTCACCCAAAATTCTTTTAGCAGTTTTCAGTAGTACTTAAAAAATAAAGCCAAGATTAGCATGCAATGCAAAGGAAAGCAGAAGCATGCAATAAAACTCAAATACCAGGTGTTCTATTGCTTTTATGTTTGAAATTTGTCTGAAGTATTCTTTCTGAATATACTACTTACTAGTGCAGAAATTTATAGTATATAATGTACCTCTGTAATTTCCGGAAATTCATCTTCACTATCAGTTAACTTATGACCCTTTTTTTCTGTTTCTTGGGCAATTGTAACAGGGATCTCTTTTTCAAGAGGTACACGAAGATGCAGTTCCACTGAATCATGTACTGAATGTTCCCGTTCCTGCAATCTCTGAAAGACAGAACTTAAGAATAAGTGGAGTAATCTACTATAGAGCCTCAACTTATGATGGGGCTATGTCCTGACGAACCCATCATAAGTCAAAGATATACTGAATTACTTACACTTTTCACACCATCGTAAAGTAGAAAAATTGAAAGTCGAACTATTACCAAGTCAGGGATCATCTGTGATTATCTTATGTACGCTAAGTTGCACTGACTGGGCAAACCAAGAACGTATATCATTTATCCTAAAGTGCTATGCCAACTACACAATCTTGCAATTACAATAGCAATTACTCAAATCTGGATAATCTTCCAAAATAATTCCAACTGAGATGTGGTACTTGTTTACAATACAATTCCAATTTTTTTTACCTGGTTTTGAAGCTGTAATGCTAGTGCTTTCTGCTCTTCAATCTGGCGCAATCTTTCCCGTGCTCGAGAATCATAAACACTAGTTCTACAAAATGAAAAGGAGAGTGACACAAATGTAGACCACCTTCTTGGCATCAAACACATTGTGGATGCACAATGAGTATTAAATACCAAATCCTCACCAAGAGAGTCTACAATCCTTCTACTTATACCGCACTTACATTTTAAGACATATAGTGAAACTATATGCTGTGACTAAAATTATTCTACTATTTTTATTGAAATGATTAAAAATATTACTGTGTTGCTGTATGTGAATAGATAACTTCTGTTAATTTTTGTAAATATGTAGTTCTCCTCATAACATGCTTCTAAGATTGGATCCCAAAGAAATAAATAATAGAAGATATAATTGATGTTTAATTCAAATATTGTATTTTTAATGGGTGGAGGGAGGGGGTTTGGAGGGATCACTTCTGAGGTTTA